CTTTAAAGGTAGCATAAGTTATTACTTTTGCTAAACTTAGGGCCATTTTATTGCAAATCACTGGTCATTTGGGCCTTTTCAAGACTGAAACGAATTTAGGAGTTTGGTAGGGTAAAATGTCCAAAATCAAGACTGTGCGCACCCTCTGGAAAGTATACTTTTATTGTTACTTTCTGGGCATTAATACATTGTGAAATGAGTCATTGCATTTCAGGGTTCAAATCCCCACATGGGCACAATGTGTGAAGCCCATTTCTGGTGTCCCCCGCCGTGATATTGCTGGAATATTGCTAAAAGCGGCGTAAAACCATACTCAATCACTCACTCACTCACTCATTGCATTTCACAATAAGATATTTGAAACAATGGTAAAAGTATAATCTGCGTACATGCATTATGAAGAAGAATTAAATTGACTAATTAAAAGTTTTACTAAAAAAATCCATTTTTTTTAAAGAACAAACAAACATTATTTCTGACAAATTTCAATGAATGGAGTAGTTTGTTAGCTCCAGGTAAACGCATTAAAGAGTATCTGATGTATGCTTCATTGTATGTTATCATTACAGATTGTATAATGAGCAACTGACTTCCCATATTTCTGATTTGAGTAAAAACAAAATAAAACAGGGTGCTGTCACGTAACCTCGATTTCTAAAAAATGGGACCACTTTTGACCACCACATCATGGCACATCATAATCTGCAAACAATAAGCATTCCAAAGAGCTATAATATGTCCATACAAGAGATGCTGGCATTAAGTCGACTCTAAACCCTAGCCTACTGCTCTCCTAATGATTCAGGCAAATGTTTCAGTAGCTGATAATGGATATTATCATCACCTGCTGCAGTATCATGAGCTTGCTCAAGCGCTGTGTGAAGCTCATGTAATGAAAACAGTTCATTGTTTTCTTCACCGTTATGTGAATGAAAATTAATTTTTGGGAAGGATCTCGCCAATTTTATTTGCAATTTTACATTTAAGAAGTTGTCATCATAAACACCATAAACAGACTATAGATAAGCCGGGGGGAAATTAAGAAATATAGGTATGATCTTGACAAACACATGAGCATAAGCGGGACATGTTTCGACCCGTAATTACACGATCCTGCCACGTTACACTAACACGTGGTCTCCGAAAATAGGTAATTTGGATTGAGAAACAGATAACTCCATTCAATCTGAAAATGAGCCCCGGTGAGCTGGGGTATTCAGAACAACTGGAAATCTAGATCTGGTTCTGTGGACTTTTGGATAGCAGCTCGGGTTGGGTTGAAGGGAAAATAATGAGGTTCTGGGACTACAAGAGACACTACTGGCACCTCTAAGGGCCTGCGGTGCAGAGTGAATGTGACTCGTGCTTTATTGTTGTCTCTTGCCTTCACCGATTTTCTAAATCACAAGTCAATTTGTTTGCATCCCGTACATTCCTCAACGGAATATTGTAGATCAACAATTGCAGACCGTCTTTTTTTCTGTATATACTAGAACTCAGTTTCAATATTGTTCACACATCCAACAGAAATGAGTCATGTATGGCACTCACAGCTATCAGACATATTATGTATTACACACTGTCCAAAACGTTTGTTCTGTACAAACATCCCGTCCATTTGAATGACATTTGAGGGACCTAGAGGTCCTCTGCTTGTTCTGAATCATCTTTGAAAATTTGAATCGTATATTCATAAAAGGGTAAATAAAAAATCCCCAAGACTTATGATTGATTCTTCATGAGAATAGCATGCTTACGCCACATTTTTATTCCACTGTTTCCCGGATGCACCAATGCACACATAGAGGATACTAAACGACCTTCCGTGTAATACCATTTTTATTAAACGAGTTAATGATTTGGTATCTGATACTAAATCTTTCACGAGTTTGATAAAAATGGTATTTCACGGAAGCGAGTTTAGTATTCTGTTTATTATTCTCCAACATAAATTGATAGAAACTACCTACAGTGTGATGACTCTCAGCTTTCCGCGAATCAAGGAAGGTCTAATACCATTGTGACAGAGGTATTAGCATTGTGACGTCATAACTGTAAATTATTATGACGTCAAACGTCTAGCGGTATTATACTTGTGTAATATTGACGTTTATTACCTACGAGGGCGAACATATCGTGGGTTCATATTTTTCATACGATGCCCATTGCATGAACAATGCAATGACGTCACGTTTCTTCTGTGACGTTGCGTTCTACATGCGGCGACGGCGGGTACACAGCCTATGTTTGAAAGTAGATTTGGGTTATTTTCCTCAATTTGAAGACGAATATTATATTCGTGCCCATATCATACCATGTTTACGACACTCGTGCCAAAATATCGGTATATCCCTCGCTCTCGCTCGGGAAATACCAGCATTTAGGCACTCGTGTCGTAAACATAGTATGACATGGGCACTCATATAATATCCTCTATAAAATTCTAAGATGCTTCGGTGAAAGATCAAAGGCGCCGACAGTACTTTATCAGACGATAATGTGCACTTTTTGCATTACGTCACAATATATTGGCGTCACTGCGCCATTCTAGTCTGCCCCCTCGTCATCGAACACTTTTGCATTACGTCACAATGTAAGCGACGTCACGATGCATGTCGGGTGTCATCGCCTCGTACAACCTCCTACAGTAAACTACTCCATTGCATCCCGTTTCTTGGATGCAGTTGCTTCACGCAGCTAGCATCACTGGTGGAAACATTACGTTTATGTTTTCCGACGGTTAAAATGTCTCAATTCGACTCACAAGTTTTCAGCGAAACGGTGACGTTCGCAATGTTTACATTCCCCTAATGCAATCGTGGAAAGTCGCTTGACTACTCAGTTTCATCTGGATGTACTGATCTAAACTTTTTTGTGGTAGTAGAAATGCGAAGTTCATATTGCCCCATATGGTTTACGTTAATCACAGATGTAATTAAAATAATTTAGAGAAGATGTTTAATCCGAACGTAAACCGTCATGAAACTGTTTATCATTTGATGTTTGTGGTAACGTTCTTATTAACGATATATATAGTGTGTGTGTGTGTGTGTGCGCGCGCGCGCGCACAGACACATCAATAGATCAGTGCGTCAGTTAGCCCTGAGCGGGGATTCTTAATTAAGGTCACCGACACCGTCATTTGTTTTCAAACTTAGATTAATCGTAACTATCCTTAGAAAGTATTAAATTTGGCATCTTAGAAAAGAAATACAGTTCGCTCTACCACCATGTATAGTGTAATAAAGCACACTTTCGCCCTGAACTATTATAACGTTAAAGCACTCGGACGCAAGCGTTTCTTTTATATTACACTGCAGTATCTTCCACGGGGAGAGTAATAACCACGGGTATAAACTAATGAAGACAGTAGAAAAGTTTCATATCCCTGTTAACTTCAGCCAGACACGACAATGCTTGAAGAAACAACGGAAATGGAAAAGTGACCAGTATAACTCAGAAATACATTAAGAATATTGTGGCTTTGTAGACGTGGCGTTAGCAACAGATGTTCTTCTGAACTTCTATTCTATATCTGCATAGCAATCTGTCTCATATTTGTTATGTGTAACGTAACGATTTTCACACACACCTGGCATTGCCACTGTAAAAGCAGTGAAAATGAACAGAACTATTCCAAGCTGTGTGTGCTTAGTATGATGAGAACTGTACTGTAGTGTTGTACTGTAGTGTTGTGCTGTAGTGTAGTGTTTTACCGTAGTATTGCACTATGTAGTTGTATTGTATTGTTGGACTGTAGTGTTGGACTACAGTGTTGGACTGTAGTGTTGTACTGTAGTGCTGCACTGTAGCGTTGTATTGTACTGTTAAACTATAGTGTTCTATTGTAGTGTTGTACTGTAGTGGTACACTGTGTAGTGTTCTTCTGTATTGTTGTTCTATAGTGCTCAACTTTGTTGTTGTATTGTTGTACTGTAGTGTTGTACTGTATTGTTGGACTGTAGTGTTGTACTGTAGTGTTGTACCGTAATGTTCTAATGCATTGTTGCACTGTAGTGCCGTACTGTAGTGCTGTACTGTAGTGTAGTGTTTTACTGTAGTATTGCACTATGTAGTTGTATTGTATTGCTGGACTGTAGTGTTGGACTACAGGTGAGTTGAAATTGGGTTTAACGTCGTGCTTGAGGATATTTCGCTCATATGAAGACGTGCATGCGTGTGTATGTGTATGTGCGGCTACTTGTACTAGCCCAGATTTAAGCTGGTTTTATAGTGCCAGCCTACTGAGATACCATGCCGCAGTGAAGCATGAATACCCCACTCAGACACATTATACTGACTCCGAGCCGACTAGTCCTTGTTCTACCCATTAATACCGAGCGCCAGGCAGGGACCAACAAGTAGTTGGACTACAGTGTTGGACTGTAGTCTTGCACTGTAGTCCCTTAAAGCTAAATGCCTGAAGGCACTCGATTTGTTAAAGGTGGTCTCCAATTCAAAGTGAGGAGGGGATCAAACTACCCTCCTTCACTTATATAGATCATTGGTGCGATCTAAACTTGATTATGGCTCGATCGTATATGGCGGAGCCTGCAAAAGCAACCTTAAACTACTTGATTCTGTTCACCACCAGTGAACTTCTCCAGTTGATAATCTCTATGTCCAGGCAGATGAGCCTTCTCTTACCCAACGCCGTATAAAATTATCTTTACAATATATTACCAAAGTATATTGTAACGAGTCTAACCCTGCATTAAGCTGTGTCTTCAGTCCTCTTTATGAGGATTTGTATAACAAAAAGTCTTCTCTTGTTCCCCCTCTTGGACACAGAATTAAACCATTTATTTCTGCTGCTGGCATTGAGCTGGAGAATATATCTCCTTCTCGTCTTCTTTCTTCTCCTCCTTGGCAATTGGTGAGACCAGCAGTTGACTTAACATTAACCACATTTAAAAAATCAGAAACTAATGAGTTACAGTATAAACAAGAATTTAATCAATTGAGAAATAAATATAATACATATAAATCCTTATTTACAGATGGGTCCAAGGATGGTGGCGCAGTGTCTTGTGCCACTGTCATTGGTTCCAGAACAATATCTTCTCGATTACCAGATAATAGCTCTATTTTTACAGCAGAAGCAAACGCCATATTAACAGCCTTAAAATATATTCAAAAACACCCTAAATGCAAACAATATATAATCTATTCAGATTTTCTTTCTTGCCTTCAGGCTTTTAAAAATCTTTCTTGTGAACATCCACTTTTAATTCAAATTATTGAATTATATAGACATCGTCTTTTGTTGGTTACCCTGCCACGTTGGCATTTCTGGGAACACAATGGCTGATCTTGCTGCCAAGGCAGCACTCAATAAATCTGTGACACCACTTCTTATTCCATACTCTGATTACAAAGCTAGCATTAGAACCTACATCCGTGATCTGATGCAAAAGAAGTGGGACACCCAAGTAAGTATCAATAAATTACATGAAATAAAACCCTATATCGGTTACCGTTACTTGGGTTGTCAGTCCAGATTTAAAGAAGTCATCATACGACGATGTCGTATTGGCCACACAAGATATACTCATGCATGCCTATTGAAAGGTGAGGATCCTCCGTTTTGTATCCCTTGTGATGAAAGAACCACTGTCAAGCATGTCCTGTTTGACTGTGTTGAATTCTCCATCATAAGGGATAAATATTTCAACATCAAAACAGTAAAGGATCTTTTTAATAAAGTTTATTATCATTTAATTATTGATTTTGTAAAGAGATAGATTTGTTAAATGAATTTTGATATATGTTTTGTAAATAGCTAAAGTTTTATAATTGGTAGCTCAGATTATCAACTTAGATTGTTAGTGGCTGTATCCTCAAAGTGGGTTGAAGTACCGTAAATTTATTGTCCTCCTGAGAGGGTACGTAAGTCCCAAAACTTTCAAAGTACAATTTTCACGTACCAAGTTTTTAAACGGAGTATTTTTGTTCTTTAAATTTCGGCTAAATTATCCTACAATCGCCAGCGGCTGAAGGGATGGTGTAAATCCAGCTAGGCTCCATGCAGGTAGCAAAAGTACCTTCAGTTGTTGGCAATCTATAGCCCGTGTTTTATATTGTATTGTCTTCTTGTTTTAGCTTTGTTCGCTAGTTTTATATTATATCTGTGATTATCTAGTATTTTTACTGTCCATCGTCGACAGGTTTTAATCTTCAAAATATTTTCACTTTTTATTGTATAAATTGTTTTCGTCACGATATGGCTGCGATATTACCGATGTGACGTTAAATATCAACCCACTCACTCACTAAGGCATATAACTTGTCTTCAGTACCTGGTTTGTCAAATCCTTGTGTGTCACTGAGATCGGAAAGCACATTTTCTAAGACAATGCGTTCCAGGACATGAAGCATCCAACATTATTCTTAATAATATGCTGTGTCAAATTATTTGTTAATTTTGAAAAAAAACAAACATACTTATCTTTATAAGAGGTGGGCCTGTCGCCTTAATCATTATACCTATCTCGGACTAGTGTTTTCCCATACCATGAACTTTAAAAAGGTGAGGTGAGGTGAAATTGGGTTTTACGCCGTGCTTGAGAATATTTCGCTCATATGACGACGTGCATGCGTGTGTATGTGTATGTGCGGCTGCTTGTACTAGCCCAGACTTAAGCTGGTTTTATAGTGCTAGCCCACTGAGATACCATGCCGCAGTGAAGAATGAATACCCCACTCAGACACATTATACTGACTCCGAGCCGATCAGTCCTTGTTGTACCCATTAATGCCGAGCGCCAGGCAGGGACCAACAAGTACCATATTTTAACGTTTTTTTGGTATGACGCGGTCGGGGAACTTTAAAAAGAGTGTTATAGATCTGAAATCACGTGCTTAGCAGGCTTTTATTATGTCAGTTTCCCAGAAATTTGGAATTTTAACCCCAAAAATATATCTTAAATTGTTTGATTCACAAATCCAACCGATTATGCTTTATGGGTCTGACATTTGGGGATTTCAACGTCATGAAAGTCTAGAAAAAGAACTACACCTTTGATCATGTAAAAAAAAATTAAATGTAACGCAAGCATCACCAACTGGTATTGTTTATGGAGAATGCGGTAGATATCCGACATATATGTAAATTAACAAATCAGATGTTTAAAATAATTGTTTAAGATCCTTGGAATTCACGAACAAAGAATCCCAAAACTAGCTTATAACATTCATGTACATTTAGATGATAGGGGTAAGACAACATGGGCGTCTCATATTAGAAATCTTTTATTTTCTCATGGCTTTGGATTTGATTGGTTAAATCAAACAGCTGGTTATATTAATCTATTTCTTAAGCATTTTCGAGAACAATCTGTCAGCCTGTATTATCAAGAATGGCATTCCTGTCTAGACAATAGTTCAAGATATTAGTTGTATAGATCACATAAGAGCTTAATTCAACCAGAACTATATCTATCTGTAGTGACATCTAGAAATATCAGACGCACAATTGTCAATTTTCAATTGGGCTTGTTAGACTTATCAGTATATAAGGTCAGACTATTTTCAGCAGAGAGACGTTTAAGGATATGTCCATTATGTAACTCGGCTATAGAAGATGAAATTCACTTCGCTTTTGTATGCCCACATTATTCTGATTTAAGAAAAAAGTATATCCCAAATAATTACCTGTCAAAATATCCTTCAAATGCCTTTGTTTCCATTTTATCCACCAAAAATCAAAATGAAATACGTAATCTTGCGATTTATGTAAAGCATGCAGTTATCTTTAGAAGCAATATCTTATCTGAACTGTAATTTCTTTTGTGAAATGTCTGTAACACGTGCTGTATATTTACTTGTACTACTTGTATATGGGCCGGAGGCCTTAAGTACAATAAATATCTTTGACTTTGCCTTTGACTTAAAAAAAATATATGCACAGGTTGATGTTTAATATCTAAAAACAGACACTTTGAGTTCTGTGATCATACCCCGCGTTGACGTTTTGTACTGTAATAATGAGAAAGATTCGGTTCTACCGCTATTGTATTTTCATCTTCAACTGTAGCAGCTCTTAACAGAGAAGAAGGACTTTCGCGTTGAATATTACCTATTGTACTAAAAATCTGATCGAGATGAATGCACAGCTCTTGATAGGGAACTATATCCGGCAATTCTGATCCAGTCATTGCTGAGAGGGGTAATGATTCTTTTCCCATTAAGCCGAGCGTTCTCGCTAAGTGTTCCATTCAACTCATTTAGTTGAAGCAAGCTCCATTAGGCTTAGTGAACAACGCTATCATAACCATTTGGCATAATGTGGCGGTTTTTATTTTAAAATATCTTATCATTGTTTCTGTCATGACTTACATTAGTCCTTCGCTGGTAATACGTTTCACCACAGAGAGCGACTATGAGTTGCCCACATGTGTTATCACTAGAATGAAGTAGTTGAATAGACTGCCCATTTGTTATTCCCGGTAGGGTGACAAACATGTTACAGTGAGAGAGGGAGTGAGGGAGTGAGTTTAGTTTTACGCCGCACTCAGCAATATTCCAGCTATATGGCGGCGGTCTGTAAATAACCGAGTCTGGACCAGACAATCGAGTGATCAACAGCATGAGCATCGATCTGCGCAATTGGGAACCGATGACATGTGTCAACCAAGTCAGCGAGCCTGACCACCCGATCCCGTTAGTCGCCTCTTACAACAAGATAGTCGCCTTTTTATGGCAAGCACATGGGTTGCTGAAGACCTATTCTACCCCGGATCTTCACGGGTCCAAACATGTTAGATATACAAAGGTACTAAACCATACTTTCAACATGTACATGCTGGGAGTGATTATTGTGGTTGATGCGGGTGGTTCAAATTTCCACACTTGGTTTATAGATATATTTAAAAATTATAGGTTTTCTGCAACGAATGTTAAAAACAGTATATGTTTGGTTTTTCAAACCCAATGCAATTCTGGCTAAAATCAATTAAACTTCGCTATATGGTTCGCGACAACTGGATGTGGCGTGGCTTTCGATGAGAACCGTGATCAATTTAGTAGTCTTTTTATTTTTCTTATTTCACGGTTACTACCAGATTAGGTGCATACTTATACCCCTATCACACCAAACTCGTTCTCAGTACGTCCTTGGCAAATGTTTGGATCAGGCTCGAACTGTGTGCGAACGGACTGGACGAAGTGGCGCCTGTTTACAGTGACAACATACTTAAAAGAGATTCCCGGCCCGTTCGAACGAAATTGTCGGACTACGGACGGAATTGCCGCACTTCAATCTTACTGGGGACGTGTGCGGACGTAGTGCTTATTCACCGGCATGGAAACTCAATATACTCGTACAAATATAAGGCAGAAAAAAACATTTCACTGAGCATGCAAAATCTCTATTCAACTCAGGGTTTACCGTGCACTTCCAACTATTTCATAAGCTTGTGTTAATATATCACTAACAAATCAAAATAATTTAAACAATTTAAGGCTTAGCCGGTAAAAGTATATTTGTGTAATTACCTTCTTGGTCTAAAAAGCATCCACATACCACATGCTTAATGAATATGTGATACTTAACGCTTTTCTTACTGGATGGAGCATTACCATATTCATTTTAAAGATACGGTTTATGTATAATTTCAGATGAATCATCTAAACCATCGAATCTGCATCTTCTTAATACTATGCGGGGCATCCATACTCCCATACATCGTCTACCTTTGTGCATTACCATCACATACCAGTAGTGACGTGTTTCCACTCTTCGATGAAATAGGAGTGCGTCAATTGTCAGCTCTGAAGGAACACAAGACAGTAGATAACAGATCTCCTAAAAGGTTGAAACGTTCAGGACAAGGCAAGGTTAAGAGTAACAATGTGTCCAATATCCATCAGAAAGCTAAAAGTGATCAGACTAACCATGCGTCCAACGAGAGGTCTGTCGAGAAAGCCGCCCAATCCTATCCAGTCTTACAACATACTGCATCTCGGCTTGTCTTTAAAGAAGCCATCACAAAGTACTGGACTCCAATAGATGTGGTCAATATGGATCTCCCTTTCACAAACAAGTCTTTGACACATTACACTGGAAATGGAACTAAGCTTATTGTAATTGATCGACTTCCAGTCTGGATGGAATGGGCACTAAAAGGTTATATGCAAATGTGCAGATACAGCAACTGTTTGTTGTCGACGAATGGCTCATTGAGGACAGACGCAGACGCTGTGCTCTTTAATGGACAATCAATGTCCCCCAAACCTCCACCCCGAACACCGGGGCAAGTGTGGGTGATTTATGCCTGGGAAAGTCCTTGTCATCTTCCAAAAACAATGTACAAACCAGAATGGAAAAGAGAATTAAATTGGACATTGACATACCAAACAGACTCTGACCTCTTCTCGCCCGTGGGAATGTTTGTACCAGTTCTGAAACCGCACTCCTATCATCATCTTCTAAATATCGTGCAGCACAAGACGAAGGCAGTTGCATGGTTTGTTAGCCATTGTAGAACAGAATCTAGACGAATGGCATATGTCAAAAGGATTCAGAAGATAATTGACGTTGACATTTTTGGAAACTGTGGACCAATGAAATGTCCAAGATCTGATCCAAAATGCTTAGGTATGTTGCAGGATACCTACTGGTTTTATTTGTCATTTGAAAACTCCTTCTGTAAAGACTACATTACGGAAAAGTTGTACAAGGTTTTCAACGACGCCTGTGTCCCTGTAGTCCGGGGAGGTGCTGACTACAAACACCTTGTACCAAATGGGACATATATCGATGCAGCCGACTTTGCCAGCCCGGAGGCACTGGGGAGGCATCTTAAGTGGCTCATGTCCAACACGTCAGCTTACATGGACATCCTCATGCACAAGGAACAGTACCGGGTCCTCGGCTCAAATCATGGTAAACACATGGCGTTGTGTGAACTTTGTTATCGACTTAATAACCTGGAAACACGAAGGAGCACACAGGCAGGTGTAGAGGAATGGACTGAAGAATGCCATGCACCAACAGACCTTGGGTAGATGAGACCAGGGCCCTTATTCTCGAAACGTTCGTAGCCCTAAGAATTCTTAACTTTGATCGTAGCCAATGTGTTAAGAATGGGTTTAAGAAGTTCGTAGGGCTTCGAACGTTTCGAGAATAGCTAGCCAGATGGTTGGAAGATTAATGTTAGGAAATAAAGGAGTACTATATATTTTTCAGGTTTTAGAATCATGTTCTCGGATTTACAGGTATTATTGATTATTCTAGCACGACAATGTGTGATACTCGATTCTGATTGGCTGAGAGCTCATCAAACCCGTACTTAAATGACAGTTAAAGTGATTCACCGCGTATGAATACAACGGACTCGTTGACCCTATTGTTTGTAAACAAACATGTCGGACATCGGCAATTTCTATCTCGGCGGCATCTTTGGTGTTTTTGAACGCGTTCGGTTTTTAAATTACATTTAGCGGTCTTAAATCAACGATAAAGGACCGCAAAATTGAAAACAGGGTAGCTTTTTTTCATTCTAGCACAACTGATAAGCGTTTTAAAACCAAACTGTTTGGCGCGCAAGAACACAAGACCGCTAAATGTTTAATTTAAAACCTCACACTAATGCGTTCGGTTTTTAAATTACATTTAGCGGTCTTACATCAACGATAAAGGACCGCAAAATTGAAAACAGAGTAGCTTCATCTTCTAATTTGGGGACTGACAAGGAGGCGATATGAAGAGGGGAAAATAGTAACATGATAGAGTATAAAAATCATCCTTTGGTTAGAATAACAGATAACAAACATATTGAGCATCATACTCCCAGAAAGAAAGAACCTTTGGAACTGACTCTAGAGGCTTCAGAACAGATCACAAAGTATGCAAGCTAGAGATGTGACAGTGAAGAGGATGAAAAGGGGTGCGCTCATCAACATACTTGCAGTGCTTCCACAACTATGTTGAACAACAGTGATATAATTCATTAATAATCATGAGGAACATGTCATCATGCAGTATTAGAAATTAGAAATCAGGGCTTCAATTTTCAAATAGGTTAAACTGGACTTTGTCACTGAAAAAGTCCAGAAATTTCTTTCCAACTTTGTAATGCTATAGAAGAAGGTCCCATCAAAAGTGGAAAAATCATGAAAATGTTTTGTTGAAATTTGTCTCGAGCAAAATCCTGATCATGAATACTTTATGCTCTCTTACTTTGTAACTGCATCAATATCATATCTACCACTGCTGCTGACTTGTGTACAAAAAAACGCCTTGCAACCGACAGGACAACCTACACTGTCTCACCTCTAGCACATCACAGGAAGGATCGATGTGCGTTTTGTGATAAATTTAAAATATTTTATCAACAGTGTGCACTGATACATCATAGAAAGTTGACACATTATGATAAATACGAAGGCCACAAACAGTACTGAGACTATATCAATGTAAGAATAGCAACCAACAGAATGTCATAGAGACTTGAAGATGGGGAAATCTCTGATCTCCAAAACATGTAGAACCATGGACTTAACTCCAAAACATTAGTATCCAATTTCAATTTTCTCATATGTAGTACAATCCATGTGTACATATCCATGTAATAAAGTTAATAATGAACTCAATAATATTCACTGACAGAGGTGGACATACTTCAGTCCACTCTCGGCTGCATGGCTTTACAAAGATGTATATCCTATTTCTGAGACACTTACAAATCCTGAGTCTGGTCGAAAGAGTTGCTGATTGATCCCAGCTCATGAAAGAGGTCCAAGATGGAGGATGCTTCTTCATAATCTTTCTCTGTGTCCTCATTCTCCAGGAGGTCATAGACAGAATCCTGGACAGACACCTCTGTTTCCGTGTTGGTCTGTGGCACATCCTGGACATTCTCTTTAGCAGTTGTCACCTGATTGCCGCCATGATGGACACGTACATGTTTGCGGAGGTTGCTAGTGCTGCTGTATCTTTTGCCACAGAGCTGACATGGAAAGCCTTCCGTGTTGTGGATTCTCATGTGATCCTTGAGATTTTTCTTGCCAATGAAACACTTCGAACATACATCACATCGGAATGGCTTCTCTCCTGTATGGACTCTCTTATGTTTCTCCAGAGCTTCAGGCAAAGAAAAGGTTTTGTCGCACTGTGAGCAGGGGAATTTCTTTTCTCCATGGAAAACCCTCATGTGCTTCTTGCAAGCACTGGAGCTGCTGTAATACTTCTCGCATACATCACACTTGAACAAACGCTCCCCTGTGTGAGATCTCATGTGTTCTTTGAGGTGAGATTTTCCGACAAAGCCTTTGTTGCATACTTTACACTGAAATGGTGTCTCGCCAGTGTGCTTTCTAACATGCTGCCTGTAAAATTCGGCCTGGATGAATGCCTTTCCGCAGAGCTCACACTTGTATGGTCGATCTCCAGTGTGGATCTTCACATGCCGCATCAAATGGGAAGATGTGTAAAAGCTTTTCTCGCAAACATCGCACTGATATGGTCTCTCCCCTGTGTGTTTTCTCATATGGTATTTGAGAGATGAGTGATGCGTGAAGGCCTTCTCACAAAGCTCACATTCATAGGGCTTCTCTCCCACGTGGATAAGAACATGCTCCTTTAGTTTGGTGGTTGTGGTGAAGCTTGCGTCACAGACGGAACATTCGTATGGATTGAGCCCAGTGTGGATCCTTGTATGCCGATACAAGCTCCCAGAATGAGAGAATTCTCTATCACAAACCTGGCACTGGAATGGTTTTTCTCCAGTATGAACTCTCATATGTTCCACAAGGTTGATGTTCTGTTTGAATGTCTTCTCACATGTGTCACATTTATACGTCTGCTTGTCTTTGTGCTGTCGGATGACATGTTTCTTTAAAGAGGAAGGGTTAGGAAATACTTTCTCGCATCTAAGACATGTGTGTAGCTTACTCTTAACTTCAGCACTGATCTCCTCTGGTTCATCTGGGCCCTGTAAAGCTTCTTCATTGTCGGAGGATCCGTCTAACATCTCAGTCAGGTTTTCCAGGAATTCTGCAGCTGCCAAGTCCTCTTCCATGCTGGTTAATTGGAATTGTCGTTCCAATTCCAGGGACTCATCGTCTTCCTCCACACGCCATGCCTGGTCATCCTCTTCCATGTTGGTCAGCTGGAAGTGCTGGGCCAGCTCCAGGGTGTGGAGGTCGTCCACCATCCCCTCACACCAAACTTGAACCTCCTCCCCCCATCATGTTGGCTGATGGCTGCACCTACAACACAACACCACAGTTGTACGCAGTGATTGAGCTTCTTGAGCTCATTACAGGGTTGTGTTAAACAGTCCTCCATCAACAATGATTAGGCCAAATAAAAAAAGGCTGTGGTTCCAATTACACCTCTTTCAAATTTAGGATAGGTAGATAGGAATTTTTTTTAGAAGTAAAGTACAAACTAATAACACATTTATCAATGTGTAATTGTTTATTTAATCAAGCTTGCGGCCATCATGTCGACTTTCTGTATCCGAATGACCAATTTCTGTCGGTGCCAGGAAAATACAATGGTATCTGCAAGTTTATTTTATGCATACCGCTTAAAAAAAATAGGGTCGGCACCAGAATTCAAGGGTTGGTCGGGTAATCGGAACCACAACATTTTTTTTAGGCCTTAGGCAAATACAGTTTGTGGAGCAGTTGTTCCTTAATCCAACAAATCAGGTTTGATTCCAGCCAGTGCTCAAATCAAGCACCGCACAAACAGAAATCGTTCATTCTGCCACTTAATCTGTGCATTCTTTCAAAATTTCGCTGTTGTGGAGTTCACATGAAATTTTACCTGCAGTAACCTTTTGTCTGATGTGTAGCTTCAAAAAGCAAAATGCTGTTCCACAGTGTTTTCCTGATGAATCCAAATAGGAACATACATTGTACTTCACTAACATCCATGCTATTAGTTACATGATTTGATCCCACGAAATATGCAACACAATAAGCTTTCACAAAACATTCGACTTACAAAATTGTGTACTTCTATTTTCAATTTATGCAACTTAATATGAACTTACTGGGTTGAAATCACGAAAAAAATTGCACCTGTTTCCAACTCACCAGGTAATATGTTGTTGTATGACCAAAGATACTAATATTTGAATTCAGTTGTTTTAGGCAGTAAACATTTTGCATTTGTCAATACATCATGATGAATGTACTGAGAATCTGTTAGCACTGTAGCAACAAGACCCAATAAAAAATGATTTATTACGACCACCAAAATATGGTTACTGCAGCTAAGATAATTCATTCCATTCATTTCAATAATATTTTCATTATTTATAGATACATGGTAGTGTTGGCTAATACCAGTTTCACTCGTCATGCTTAAGACCCGGGTTCGATTCCTCACATGGGTACAAGGAGTGAAGCCCATTTTTGGTGTCCCCCGCCGTGATATTGCTGTTTTTTTGCTAAAAGCGGCATAAAACCACACTCTCACTATCACCAGTGTACCTACAGGGAAAGAAACCTTTCAGAATTTCCAACTTGACCACAGGACCAGTGAGTGGACAATAATTAGTGGTCCTGTGTGTACTTCACTGGTCCAAAATAACAATTGTACATTTACTTAAAAAATTCAGTGACAACCAGGACCACTGCAAACTTATCATTTAGTGGTCCTGATGAATATTTACTAGCCAAGGACCACAGGACCAGCGTACCTTTTGCACTGTACCTGCCATTGACAGAAATAAAGAAGATAGATTTAATGTAACTATTAGTTTGACATAAATACATAAAAAAATATGGGGGATATCGAACGATGGTCAATGCTGGTTTTCCTAGTTTTCGACCATCGGTGGGGCACTATTTGAATACTACTTCAATCCATCTAAATTATGCTATTTGTACAGTCAGGGTTTTACATAGCTCTTTGAAACTAGGAGTCCAGGGGACTCAGGGCATACTTTTTTGAGAGTCCATGTCCAAAATTTGGAGTCAATCAATTTGCATGAAATCAATGATAATGGATGCTTCCCATTTGATAATGATTACGTTATTATATGTGTTACTTTCAATGTCATTAGAATAATGACTGTAAATAAAATGTTTACACATTAATATGGGATGTCATTACAAACTCCACTGTGTCCACAAGGACTCACAGGATTTTAGTTTGGGGGTACTTCACCAAAATTCTGCGTCCAATACGCAGGAATCTTGCGTCCTGTAAAACCCTGTACAGTGTGCATGGTATTGGCAGTGCATACTGCAATATGGGTTAATATTCATACGATAATGACCACAGTCCGTTTGATTTCATTTAAGACCGATGAATTGCTCACTTACTCAAAATCTAATAATTGCAACAAAATAGTGCAAAATTTGGTTTTGTTGCAATTATTAGATTTTGTGTTGGTGAGCAATATATCGGTCTCAAATGAAATCAAACGGACTGTATTTATGAATATATTTGTAGTAACAATCATAGATTTCATCAATTCCCAAAACACAAATTATTCTGATATTTATAACTTGTTATTATCTAATTATACAGATCATTTCTACATCATGTAACCTTAATACAAATTTGCAAAACATCTAAATTCATAATTAATAAGCCTGAACAGATTATCAGATCACGATTCATGTGAGCAGGTAGCATATAATGGTGACATTGTCCTTGATGTGTGAAGAGCGTGACCTATTGTTAAAGTCCAATGGCAATGAATGCAGGCTATGGGAACATCAATCAATAATCAACACAAACCTTTAATGTTCAGAGAGCAGAAACACACTTGAATCAATCCGAGCAGAATACTTGCATGGTCTTCAAAAAGAACAATGATACAAACCTCAACTAAACATGTAAATTTAAACAGTTAACATGGTCAATACACACAGCTCAATTGCAAACTGAGAGAGATTTAAAAAATTAACATGAACCACGGCAATTTTCCAGGCTTAGTGTGTGATATATGGCTGCCTGAAGAAGAAAACATTCTGTTAATCACGAATATAAATATCTGACAATGCGACAACAGGTGTAAATGGCTACCGTTTCCGAACTGCAACAGACTCCACTAACGGTCAAACCTGTGCTGCAGAGGTGAAAATGAAACATATGATTATCTTTCTGCAGTGTCGATGTCTGCGACAATTTCCATTTCGTTCAGTCGCTAAATAACTGTAAATTGTGTTGTCTCTGCTAACTCTTACATGTAACGCTGAAATGCATAAATAGCATTCGGTCACACACATTTCACCATTTCTGCAAAGACAGTTCCAGTCCCCGTAATTTAACAGCTGCTGATGGACAATGATCTAACGGATACATTGAAAGTGTATATAAGCTTGTCGCAGCATCGCTGTTCACGTAAACACCAACATTTCTTCGAGAAAGTGTTGTATGGTTGCAGTTCTTCCAAAAATCATACAGTGTGATTTGATGCACTGAAAACAAAGAAACAAATTACATTTTACCGCTGCCAATTTTACCTGATTAACATCATTTTGACACTTGCTTCGAAACAATTATGCGATGAGAGTTATCTTCTCTTTGGTAAATGAACCACCGCCAGGGATATATCGTCAAGGAAGATTCCCAGGGGAACATGTTTTATGTATATCTGATTATAATTTACTCCGCACCAATTTAAAACAAAACATGTAAAATACTTTATGCATAACAGTGTCATTTACAAAAGAGTAATTGTATATCCAAATACAGTTATGTATTCCAAATTTAATTTGGCATGGAAATATGTATATGAATGTTTGGGAATTTTAATAATCTACATATATTATATATTTTTTGTTGTTGCGATAAGTGGTTTATGTTGATTGTTGTCTTGAAAAAAATCTTAGACTGTGGTCTAAATTGTGTGTGTGCAGCTAGGGTAAGACTCGGATTTGTGGCATATCTGAACGAAAACGGCATCAGAACTGAATCGCGGTGAAGTGTCATTTTTATAAATATGTATTAGCGAAACTATTTGATAAGATAATATGAAGTAATAATCTGATTTGAACTTGTAATGTGTAATCTATCCAAGCAACAATTAAGTGATCAGACTCGATCACTGTTTATTTTGTTTATGTACAGATCTATATTCTATGTAATAGGCCTAGGCTCTCTGCCCAGTGACAGTTGAATTTGGCTTGTGTATGATATTATAGGACCTTGCGTTGTGTACATTTTCTTCATTAATGATGATGGTAAAGTACCCAACTTCAAGTGTATAGGTTCTATGAATCAGATCTTATTGCTTGTAAAAACTTAACAAAGGGAACAGAGAAACTCAATTTATACTCGGCGTCATTAATGAAGGGTCAAGCTATTGGTAACACTATTTCTTAACAGTTGTAAAATCTTCGTTTTTGTTTGAAATATATACAACTGAATGTTTAACAAACTTTCTGGATAGTATGGAAAAACACACCAGGCCGTTGGAATGTCATTAATACGTTCTTTAACGTAAAGTGGAGTGGAGGACAATATACATGCATTGATGCTTTTTCACTGTCGTTCACTGTTCAGGTACCTGTATGAAAGTGCTAAGATAAGACATATATATATAATAAAATATATTGTTAAACATTTACATTTACATTTTAAGTGTACAGATTATTTATGTATACTTTGCTGAAAACAGAAGAATAATTTTTATTCAAGTGTCTATTCAATATGTCACCATTTTAACATGTATACTTTGCTGAAGACAGATCATTAAAGTTCACTGATGTGAAGCTGTATTTTTGTTTCTTGGATCATTCCATTTTATTACAAAGGTAGTTGTTGGTGCAGTCAACCGTACCATATGTTGTTTTAACCCGTATGACTAGTGGGACGTATGACTAATGGGAGGACACCGTATGAAATTGCAGCTTAAAATGAGACGTTTTCTTACACTTGCTGAAAGGGGTCAAACTCAGCGGCAGGTTAAGTCAAGAGGGCTACTGGTAGACTGTGGCCGAGATTTCAAGCCAATGGGTCAGTGGAACATGCACGTCGACCAGGTCACCCCAGAGACAACAGTCCGAGATGATAGGCACATGATTAACACTGTGTTACGTAGCAGATCTTCAGACAGAGCACTTCAATGTTACAATGTAAGGATATCCAGGAGCACCGTTCGTCGACGTTTAAGGACAGCTGGACACCGCTGTAGGCGACCTGCAGTTCGTCCACCACTAACACTATGTCACAGGCAGGCGCGATTGAGATGGGGTAGACATCATGGCTGCTGGAATCAACGTCAATGGTCTCGTGTGGTCTTCACGGATGAAAGCAGATTCAATTTGTCCTTCCATGATGGTGTCCAGAGGGTTTAATTATCGTCGCAATGGAGAGCGAATCGCAGATGCAACTGTGGCCACGCATAACCGATTTGGCGGTTGGTTGGGATGAACTCGGTCGACGTGTGTACGCGAGGAGGGTACACTAGATATTGAATGATCGAGTGAATGAGTGAGTATGGTTTTGCGCCGCTTTTAGCAATATTCCAGCAATATCACGGCGGGGGACACCAGAAATGGGCTTCGCACATTGTACCCATGTGGGGAATCGAACCCGGGTCATTGGCGTGACGAGTGGACTCAAAACTTGGGGGGTTGGTTTATACAGCTAATGTTTGCTAGTGCTGTTTGACGTTTTTGACTGTAATATACTACTCACACTTTGATAAGGATCACAAAAATTCACAACTTTACTTAAACGTAGATTTATGATTTGAAATTGTATCCATTTAAAACTGGATAAATAATGATATGGTAACCCCTCTTTAGGCAAACAGCCACTTTATTCTAACCTTACGCACATGACACACGAGAAACCATAAAAATGGTTTTCATAGCACCAATCAACCATTTTGCAAAACATGGAACGAGTCATTGACAGATAAACAACACCTGTCAATAGCAGATATGGGATCCATAAAGTGCAATGGCATACTGAAACCTAGGATCCATACTTACAATAAGCTTAGATATTTAAACCAAATTTGACCCCACATCATAGTTTACTGTTGAATCCATGATTTGATCCTTAGCAAAGTGTGAATAGTATACTATGTCACCATGTGTCACGCTTGTCAACGCATTAAATATTATGATTACACTCTTAGTTCTATTATTTCTGAGAAACCTTTCTTTACATGTGCTATATATCATTTGACCCTATATAAAGACGTCTAGAATATTTACAAAACGTCAACTTAACACAGTGAAATTCTCACATTTCAAGACATTCATAATCTTACAGACCATAAACCCTAAATATAAATAATAAACTCTAACGTTTAATCTTCTTAATTAACCAATTAACCCATTAGCAATTAACCCATTAACATACCCTAAAATTCTAACACCCTAACTCCCCAATATACATTGCAGCCTAGCCCCTAACCCCAAACGAGACATAACTCTGATTTCAGAGTCTATGTCCAAAAATAAATGTATTAATTCCCCATATAAAAGGCATAGGCCAGGATTTGAGTTCAATGAATGTAAAAAAGTAACCACCAAATGCCTATGTACTTGGTCTGCGTTGCCAGTACTCAAGTACCCGAAGTAAGTGTCCTCAGCCCTGGCCAACCAGTGGGCTAAAGACTAGGAGTACTGTGAAGCGCAGTGCATGCCAGGCAGTGCATACCACCATAGCCGGGAACACACTACAAACCCATGTTATGTTAACCCAACCCCAATAGAACTAGAACTTTACCCAAAATATCCAAAACTACCACATACAATTTGGTAGGATAGAATACTAATTTTCTGTACATATTTTTATGAATGCTTTTGTATATAAAATGGTTTGTTAATCTTAAGGTAGATAACATTAAATGCCTTTTTTTCAAAATAGACACAGTTTTACAGGTGGTTAGTTAAATTGAACAGTTTATTAGTTTTATCACGGCCATTCTGCTGGCTGTTGAAGAAAAGCCACAAGCAATGAAGCACCCAGACTTATGCAGCTTTATATATGTCACCAGGTTATCTTGATAAACTGCGTGGAACAGATGGATGTCGGAAATTGTTATCGATTTGGGTGAGGGAGTGAGTTTAGTTTTACACCGCTTTTAGCAATATTCCAGAAATGGGCTTCACACAATGTAACTATGTGGGGAATCGATCCCGGGTCTTCGGCGTGACGAGCGAACGCTTTAACCACAAGGCTACCCCGCCGCCCCTATCGATTTTGGGAAGCTTGGCAGTTTGACGTTAGATCCTTCAAAAGATTGAGGGTCGTCAAGATGAGCTGCCGAAGTAGAGGGTTAAGTACCGATTGGTCAAAGTGGCGAGGTTGCGTGCCTCACTAGAACGTGTGTATCTGTCTGATTTCCTTCGGTATGAGAGCAACTATAAATAGAAATAAACTCTTCCTTCAAATCTATCTAAAGGTTGCATGAACATACATTTACAATGTTGCGCGAAATATTGACAGTTCTGTAACTCTCAGTTCATGTAGGCATGGTGACCCGCTACTATACTACTATCAGTATCACGTCGTATTGATCACTGGCTTGTCTGATCCAGGCTGGATTATTTACAGACCGCGCCGCCATATAACATATTTCTGAGTGCGGTGTAAAACAACAACCAAACAATAACGTCATACAGCTATTATAATTAATTGGCATGATCCGTAGGGGAGTGTCGGCGTATCCGCCCCATCTCAGTGAGGGATACGACCACGTCGTCCTGCCATTCAGACGTATCCTGTAGAAACGTCTACAAGAAAACCGTCAAAGATGATGTCGATGACTGAGATTGTTGTTGACTGTCTATTCAAGATGTTGATCCAGATGTCGGCCTTCATGCAACAGCACAATGCTCAAATCAGATGTACAGATAAGCTGCGTATATGCGTAAATTACTCAAATATTTATATGAAAACACAATTCCTTAAGTCTAATGTGTACAAGTAAATACTCAATAAATTTCATCTTACATGCGAACACACAAAAAAGTCAAATCTTAGCTTGAGTACCGATGGACAAATAAAATAACTGAGGCATATTGAACACATGAACTTGGCAACTTGCTGTCTTTCTTATCGTTTCTCATATTACATATCAATTATAAATATCAAACACGTAAACCAACATTTAAACTTTATTATATTTTTACAATTATTGGAAAATGGTGAAATACCCAACTGAGTATGAGTGAAGTGGGTACATTTTATTTGGTTACTCAAAGGAAAAAATGGATACCCAATTGAGATGAACACAAGCGAGTATAGAACTCAATCACCCAGAAAGATATCTATATGTAAGTCTATATGTATACTGTAACAAACAGGAATAATTCATCTTCCAGACTTTCACGTTGTCTAATTTTGAGTTATCACGAGACAGAGCCATGGAGCTTGTAAGCTGGGCTCCGTCTCTCATAGTTAACGACGCGCAGCCGAGAGCCAGTGATAGCAGCCGGTAACAGACTGGCGGTGAATTTTAGAACAAGGGGGAGTTAATTCTCATTTTGTTATCCGCTGTCAAGATTTGAAGATCGTAAACGAAGAAGACTTGTATTATGACTGTCTCTCGGATCCGTCACAGTCTTGTGTAAGACAGCTGTTTGTGACATCGAATCCTTAGTTAACAAGACAACACTATGGCATCTACTTGCGCTGGTAAATGTTTTATTCTTCACATCTGGTTCTAGAATCATCGGGTTGGAAAAAATGGTGGTTACTATTTTGGGTGTTATTTATTTATATCTGAGCCATTAGTTAGTAAAATCCAGTCCTTCAGTCAACATAGTCTCCCTTCAAGGCTTGTCGATGAATTTCGGGAAAGATCTCCGCCCGTAACCCCCGTATTATTTAAATCATTATATCCTAAGAATATACGCCTTTGCTTTTTTTTATAAACAGCCTATACCTAACCCTAAACCCTAAACCCTAACCCTAAAACCTAACCCTAAACCATCGAAATGATCCTAATAAATACATTTTAAGCGGGGGTTATGGGCGGAACTCTTACCTAATTTCATATCTTCATTGTCTTGTTGTAAGACGAAGCTAATGGGATTAGGTGGTCCACCTCACCGACTTATTTGACATGTCGTCATATCCCAACTGCATAGTTCGATGCTCATGATGTTAATCACTAGATTGTCTGGTCCAGACTGGATTTTTTACAGACTGCCGCCATACAACTTGAATATTGCTTAGTGCAGCGTGAAACAACTAACACACAATAACGACACATTGGGATGATCCGTAGGGAATGTCGGCATATTCGCCCCAACGCAGTCAGGGATAGAACCACGTCATCCTGCATGGTCTAATGAAGAGATAGCAGTAGGATGGTAGGTCAGTCCTCTGTGCACATATCTCAAAAGATGTCAAAAGTCTCACATGTTGTTACCCTTCCTTGGGGGGTGCTTTAATTGGATTAATTTGTTGGCTCCATTTTATAACTGCATTAGGGTATCGCAGTGCGCTAGCTTTGTAATAGTGAGTGAATGGCAATATCCTGCCTGGAGGGGGCGGTGGGGTAGCCTAGTGGTTAAAGCGTTGGCTTGTCACGCCGAAGACCCGGGTTCGAATCCCCACATGGGTACAATGTGTGAAGCCCATTTCTGGTGTCCCCTGCCGTGACATGCCTGCATCACCTACCTACATGCCTGCATCACCTACGTACATGCTTGCATCACCTACCTCCATGCCTGCATCACCTAGCCACATGCCTGCATCACCTACCTACATGCCTGCATCACCTAGCCACACCAGGGCTTGATTTAGTGCTGTTACTTGCTCTGGTGCAACCCATTATTACAAAGGGCAACATAGTTATTAGTCTAACTTGCACCAGGTGCAATCACCTACCTCCATGCCTGCATCACCTACCTACATACCAGCATCACCTTCCCACATGCCTGCATCACCTACTCACATGCCTGCATCATCTACTTACATTGTTTTTGATTTCTGCCACCATGATATTGCATTATTATTCATTTTATATTTAAATATTTACCACATATTTACCTGGAATATTGCTGGAATATTGCTAAAAGCGGCGTAAAACCAAACTCAGTCAGTCAGTCCTGCCTGGAGACCCCAGAAATGGGCTTTGCACATTGTACCCATGTGAAGCATCAAGGCTGGGTCTTCAAAAGGAAAATTAAAGCCGCCTGGCAACCCTACTGCCCCAGTACTATATCACCTGCTTTTCGCCACTTTGTACAAGCAGCACCCTCTTACATGCCTGCATCACCTAGCCACATGCCTGCATCACCTACCTACATGCCTGCATCACCTACCTACATGCCTTCATCACCTACCCACATGCCTGCATCACCCACCTACATGCCTGCATCACCTACCTACATGCCTGCATCACCTACCCACATGCCTGCATCACCTACCCACATGCCTGCATCACTACCTACATGCCTGCATCACCTAGCCACATGCCTGCATCACCTACCCCATGCCTGCATCACCTACCTACATGCTTGCATCACCTACCCACATGCCTGCATCACCTACCTACATGCCTGCATCACCTACCTACATGCCTGCATCACCTAGCGACATGCCTGCATCACCTACCTACATGCCTGCATCACCTACCTACATGCCTGCATCACCTACCTCCATGCCTGCATCACCTAGCCACATGCCTGCATCACCTACCTACATGGCTGCATCACCTAGCCACACCAGGGCTTGATTTAGTGCTGTTACTTGCTCTGGTGCAACCCATTATTACAAAGGGCAACATAGTTATTAGTCTAACTTGCACCAGGTGCAATCACCTACCTCCATGCCTGCATCACCTACCTACATACCAGCATCACCTTCCCACATGCCTGCATCACCTACCTACATGCCTGCATCACCTAGCCACACCAGGGCTTGATTTAGTGCTGTTACTTGCTCTGGTGCAACCCATTATTACAAAGGGCAACATAGTTATTAGTCTAACTTGCACCAGGTGCAATCACCTACCTCCATGCCTGCATCACCTACCTACATACCAGCATCACCTTCCCACATGCCTGCATCATCTACTTACATTGTTTTTGATTTCTGCCACCATGATATTGCATTATTATTCATTTTATATTTAAATATTTACCACATATTTACCTGGGTCATTCCTTATGAGTTCTCGGGACTCAAGGATTACTTGTGTTTCAGTTCTGTAAAAGAGTATTTAAGATATGATTAAACATTCCCAAATAATCCTGGAATTTGTTACATTTACAAATAATAAACTCCAGAATTAATGTTCACTGCCAAGATTTCAAAACTACATATATAATCGGCACTAGAATTTGGTCCCGTCAGAAACTGGTTAATTTATGATCATACACACGCCTTCTAATCCGGTGTCAGTCTATTGTGTATTTTGGCACAACAAAGACCGCCTAATTGACTGTTTGTACAGTAATTTATACTCTCTAAACCGGAATTCGGTATCTCAGCAATCCTGTGAACTGACGGCAAGAAATACTCACACACCACCGTGGATGACAACAATTGCTGTCAACGGAGTTAATCAAACTTTCAAAATAGATTGCAGAGCAGATGTCACTTTGATTTCTGAGGAGGATTTAAGAAGTTTAAAGAAACTCTGATAAAGCCGAAAACTCGAATCCTTGGGCCGAAAAGAATGAATCTTTGAGCAACAGGATATTTCTCAGGTACCATGAAGAGAGGTGGTCAATCAACAGTACAGAAAGTTTTTATTGTTCCAGGCTTAGATACCCCTCTTTTAGGCCGACCAGCAATCAAAGCCTTAGAACTTCTTCAATGTGTAGGCAGTGTAACTGTTGACGATGTTCAACAACAGTACCCAAAGCTGTTCCAAGGACTGGGAACATTTGATGGTGAATACAAGATACATCTTGAAGAAAACCATGAACCAGTTGCTCTTACAGCGCCAAGACGAGTTCCAATTCCTCTTCTTGAAAAGGTGAAAGAAGAATTGAAAAGAATAGAAAATATGGATGTCATAACACCAGTCATAGAACCAACTGATTGGTGCTCAGGACTTGAAGAAAACCATGAACCAGTTGCTCTTACAGCGCCAAGACGAGTTCCAATTCCTCTTCTTGAAAAGGTGAAAGAAGAATTGAAAAGAATAGAAAATATGGATGTCATAACACCAGTCATAGAGCCAACTGATTGGTGCTCAGGACTTGTGGTCGTTCCAAAAGGAAATGATAAAGTCAGACTGTGTGTTGACCTGACTAAACTCAATGCCAGTGTTAAAAGAGAACTCCACATCATGCTTTCAATAGATCATATTCTTGGACAGCTAGCGGGAGCAAAGGTGTTTAGTCGATTAGATGCAAACTCTGGATTTTATCAAATAAAACTAGCTGAAGAATCATCAAAGCTGACAACGTTTATAACACCATTTGGAAGGTTCCGCTTCAAGAGGTTACCCTTTGGAATTACAAGCGCGCCAGAAGTATTTCAGAGAAAGATGACAGAAATTCTAGAAGGTATCCAAGGGGTCATCTGTTTGATGGACGATGTTCTCAAGTTCATTGTCTGAAAAATCCAAGCCACTAAGAGACTTGCTGAGCAAGAAGAATGTTTTCGTCTGGTCTAAAACCCAGCAAGCTGCCTTTGACGAAATGAAGCATGAAATCAGCAGTACACCAGTGTTAGCGCTGTATGATCAAATAGGAAAACTGTATTGTCTGCAGATGCATCCTCCTATGGACTAGGTTCTGTGCTGAAACAGCTGGATGACAGTGGTAATTGGCGCCCAGTTATGTTTGCTTCGAGATCGATGATGCAAACTGAGTGTCGTTTTGCTCAAATAGAAAACGAAGCTTTGGGGATTACTTGGTCAGCAGAGAGATTCCATGACCTCTTGTTTGGGAAAGAATTCATGACTGAGACAGATCACAAACCCCTCGTAGCAATCCTGAGACAGAAGGGTTTTGAACAGCTTTCAGAAAGAGGTTTGGTATTGGACTGATGAGGTATAACTACACAATACTCAACACACTGCATTTAGCTGTACAAAATTATAACATTTGACATGACAGAAACCTATGATCATGGGTTCAGATCCCATGCTTTGTTGTTTAGTACTGCTCTCAGCAATGTGATACACATTGAACCATGCGATTGGGATGTGATGACATGCATGGGGTGAAATCCCCTTCTCCCCAGTTATGTTTCTAGTTTTTTAGCCCTAAACACATGCTGGTGGTAAACATCTAGAACCTGCATCACTTTGTGCTTTTCTGTTAGGGCTGGGACGGGTAGGAAATATTGGACTCGAGTACCCGCATGTACTTACCCGAATTGGAATCGAGTACCCGGAAATGTAAGGAATACATAGCTTCAGTCAACTTTCTGAATATTCAATCACGATTTGACAGATATTATAACAGAAAACCTCAAAGGATGGCAATGAGACATTGAAACTGATCTTAGGCTATTTGATTATAACTAATATAAAGAGTAACACCATTACTTACATTGTTTCTTAAAACACAGAACATTTGTTAAAACACAGAACTTTTCATTCCTGCTGTTACTGTGATTTGACTACTCACTGCTCATGCGCAGAAAAATTACCGTTGTTGATAATAACCTCCATTAACTGGACAATGCCAAAAATGTGTGTTACGTTAATAATGAAAAAGACCAGTTATTCATTCAGCCAGTAGACAACTACGTTCATGTGTAATATTCTAACTGAACCTATAATGTTTTACATGCAGATTTTATGTAAACTTGCATAGAATACAATTTGATTGATGTATTTACTGACTGGAGAATTCTGTACGAGATATACAGACAGGCAAACTGTAATGCAACTGAGTTAAGCAATATAGCAAAATGCTTGGCTCGCATCTGGGAAGACTGGTCATTTTGCTCTGTTGCGCAACTCAGTTGCATTACAGTTTCCCTATTAAATGAAAAACAAACTATTGTTAAATCGATATTCTAAAATTGAATCTATCTTCATTGGAATAACTGTATGCTGATTCTTATTTGTTAAACTATAAAATGTATATGTTACGTGAGTTCTGCTTCTATATCTGATCATCTTTCTTCTTATTGTAATGATAACCAGTCGAACATTGTATTTGCAAATCAGAATGTTAATTCCTTAGTTTTAATTGATATTCCCAACACATACAATCATTTAATTGCAATCTCTTTAATAGTCAGTGTATTCATGTTAAACGCAAATGTAAAAGCTGTGTTTCATGAAATTGAAATAAAAGAGAAACTAAAGACCTAATTCAATGTACATGTAGTCTTAAAAGCTTGATAAGCAATGAACACAAATACACAATGTAATGAACACGTTTATTGTTTAGGTTGTGTTTTAGTGCAAGATGTTTTTGCATTGACCTTGTACAGCTTCCGCAGTAGATTGACATATTAGATTGAAAAACCATATGGGTCTTCAAATTTGTAACTGTGTTAAATTATGAGATTAAGTATATCCTGATCTTGGCGTGTCAGCTTCATAAGGGATGAAGCTCAGGAGTGCGCAAGTCCCACACCTTCACCACTTCAGTAGAATTCACCAGCAGGGTCTAACACTGATAAATCTCAAAACCATAAGCAGACTGTACTATCAATTTCAGACATGATACCACAGAGTCGGCAGTTGGTTCTCTTGCCATTTGCATCAAGCTCAAAATGAGCCCAAACACTCAACTTAGCATGCGTGTCGTCCATATTGCTCTAGGTTAGAGTTACCTGCCCTTGTCATTACTGAGTTCTCTCCCTTTCCGGGTACTCGATTCCTTGAAATAGGACTCGATTCCAGCTGTACCCGACCCGGATTCGAGTACCTGAGTATCCGTCCCAGCCCTATTTTCTGTTAGCCATGAGCTGATACCCTGTGATGTAAAATGGTTTATCTGCTTCCTCTCTATATATACTCCTCACAAAAAAAATAAGCAACAAGTATTTTCAGTGTAATATCTTTATCAATGTCGACAGAGATTTTTGCCGACATGTTACTGAAAGGTAAATATTCTAAGAATACATAACCTTTAATGACTGTCAAATTGATTTATATTGACAGCATCACCCGAACACAACCACCCTCAGAAACAACATGCAAAATGCTCCACTCTTCACACATGCACCCTGATGGGTGTAAACCTACCAATCATCAGTCCTCTGGCACAACAAGCGGGTCCTAACTTCATCTTTATGGATGATAATGCCCGTTCATGGATGATAATGGCCGAGAAAGAGGTACTAACAATGTTGTTTAGATCAACAACATTACGCATATGGACTGGCCTGCAAGGTCACTTGATCTTAATCCCATTGAACATTCTTGGGACATTATTGGAGGTAGTGTTTACGGTCTCCATGTTCACCCCCAGACTCTGGATGGCCTTGAGCAGGCGTTACAGAGAGAATGGCAGAACATTCCACAACAGCAACTTTAAAGGCTCATTTAGTCAATACAAAGATGTATAGAAGCTTGCATTTGTGCTCATGGTGGTCATACGCGCTACTGAACACTGCTTCACTGTCCCAAACTACTGTCCAAAATTGACTTGAACCTTAATGTTAACATTTTGCTCTATCAATGCAGCACATTTTGCACAACTGTTTCGCGTGTACATGCTTTTGATGATTTGTAAGTCTGTTATTGCTCAATACCATTTCATTTTGTTATTCATATGTACACATGTTTCACCTTTCTATTGTACCATTCAATGATTTGCAATTTTAACAAATGAAAATGTAATGAGACTACAAATTTGTGTTGCTTAACTTTTTGTGAGGAGTATATTTTATCTTGTTTGAGTGGCATTTTAGAAGTTGAGACGTACAATATAGAACAATTTTTTATGGATAACAACTTCTTTATTTCATGAGTGCGATGTTTCGATACAGATTCTTGTACTGTTGTCAAGCAAGAGTATATTTTAGATTATATCTAACTCTGGGTTCAAGACTAGCAGGAATCGGTCACACAAAGTTTGACACTTCAACTTCTATATAGTGATAAGTGTACTAAGAGTGGCCCAGGAATGATCAATGAAATAATCATATGTATGTTTGTCATATCTGAGTTTAAGCAGGTGGGATTGCTCTGTACTTGTAAACAGTTTTCCATTTTTTTACTTTGTCTTTGCAGAAAATGTCCATGGTCAGTGCTGGATTGAGGGATGATCTTCTCCAGCAACTGTGATCGGCATGGCAACACTGCTGTTAGCATCACTAGCTGAGTAAAATCACCGATGTTTTCAGGGGGCAATGCATGTTTTCCTGTTGTCAGAAATGAATCTTCAGGGCATCAAAAAATACACTGTTCACAGATAAATCACAGCAAGCCTAACAGACAAGATCTACAAGCACTCCCCACCCAGACTGACTACCTTAGAGGTGGTTTTGGCCTTGTCCCGTGCATTTTTGGCAATAACAGGGAAACTAGCATGTCACAGAAGGCAACTGGCATCAGGCAAGTGACTATCAACACACATGGGGACCAGCAGCAAGCCCTCTTCCCGACCGTGATGCCCGTGGAGTATTTTGGTCCTCCCAACTATGCTACCTTCAAGGCCCAACTTACACAAAGCAGCTATGGAAGAAGTGGAGCCAGCCAAGCGGGAGCTTCGGAATGTGAGAAGTCAGTGGAGAATCAGCACAGTCAGGCAGTGGTCAATAAAACAGTTCAGTGTGATATCTGTGGAGACGTCATAAAAGACTTGTATGAATTTAGAACTATAAAGTGTGATGCTTGCAAGAAGATGTCCACCCACACAAATGCTGACCTCACTCGACCCCACAATAAAGTGTACCCTTGCGACATGTGTGACAAGACTTATGTGTCTCAAACAACCTTGAAAACTCACATGAGAGTCCACAGCGGAGAGAAGTCGTTCAGCTGCCCTTTCTGTGACAAGATGTTTCTGTACGAAGGGAATATGAAGACGCATGTGAGAACCCACACGGGGGAGAAACCGTTTAACTGTGAGGTGTGTGGGAAGAGTTTCTCACAGTCCGGAACATTGAAGAAACATCTTAGAATGCATTCTGGAGAGAAACCCTTTAAGTGTGAGTTTTGTGACAAGACATTTGCATATTCTGAAAATCTTATCCCACATCGACGTGTCCATTCCCGTGAAAGACCATTCCAGTGTCATTTGTGTGAGAAAGTGTTTTCTCAACCAGGATCCCTTAAAACCCATTTGAAATCACAGCATGGTAGTGATAATGGTTTACCAAACACGAAACCGATGACAAATGGGATTAAGAGTGAATATTTCAAGGCTCCTGTTTTGGATGGAGATGAGGAAATAAATTTGATTTAGTTAGATCTTTGTAACACTGTCCCACATTAATAGAACTTCTTGACTTTTGATGAGGCTGTCTTCACAGCATGTTGCTCATGTTAAACACAAACTCAAATGAGCATCAATTCACCGTGGTATCTCACCAATGTCTTAGTCCAATGATGGATTTCAAACCACAGACCTTGTGATCCGAGGTCTGATGCCATGTGCACATGAAAAGAACAAGTTTAGCATACCAGCAAAGATGATCATGTCATTGATAACATGACTCTATGTCTGCTGCATACTCCTGTCACTGAAGGTGGGTAGGGTACTGAGACGTATTTTACTCAATCAAACTTAAATCTGCTCAGACCCAAAGGCACCGGTGTAGCAGCAAAAACAATCCTGTAATGGGATTCAAACTATGTACCTTCAGATTTTAGGTCAGACACGTTTTTCTCATGACCAAAATGGTCAGCAAGGTGACAAGATAATGGTATCATCGGTGGGATGCCCACACCAAGCTGCATTTAGATTGGCAAATGTTTCATCGATTTTGAGTGAGTGAGTATGGTTTTACGCTGCTTTAGCAATATTCCAGCAATATCACGGCGTGGGACACCAGCAGTGGATAATTGATTTTGAAGCCTCCTTACTATTACCATGCTGTGATGGTTTAAGTGTGTAAGTTTCAGTTACCAATAAAGCAGGTGGTCTCTCTGTGTAATTTTCAGTTACCAGTAAAACAGATGGTCTATATGTGTAAGATGCAGTTACCAGTAAAACAGATGGTCTCAGTGTGTAAGTTTGAGTTACCAATAAAACAGATGGTCTCAGTGTGTAAGTTTCAGGTACCAATAAAACAGATGGTCTCAGTGTGTAAGTTTCAGGTACCAATAAAACAGATGGTCTCAGTGTGTAAGTTTCAGTTACCAGTAAGACAGATGGTCTCAGTGTGTAAGTTTCAGTTGCCAATAAAACTTATGGTCTAGGTGTGTACGTTTTAGTTACCAGTAAAACAGATGGTCTAGCTTTGTAAGTTTCAGTTACCAGTAAAACTGATGGTCTCAGTGTGTACGTTTCTGTTGCCAATGAAACAGATGGTCTAAGTGTGTAAGTTGCAGTTACCAGTAAAACAGGTGGTCTAAGTGTGTAAGTTTCTGTTGCCAATGAAACAGATGGTCTAAATGTGTAAGTTGCAGTTACCAATAAAACAGATGGTATCAGTGTGTAAGTTTGAGTTACCAGTAAAACAAATGGTCTCTGTGTGTAAGTACCTGTGAAGGTCCGGGTTAGAATGAACCTTCACTAACCCATGCTTGTCGTATGAGGCGACTGACGGGATCCGGTGGTCAGGCTTGCTGGGTTGATTGACACATGTCATCGGTTCCCAATTGCGCAGGTCGATGCTCATGATGTTGATCACTGGATTGTAAGTTGATTCAGTTTCAGGCTCTTCACACCAAAGACCCGAGAACAATTCCCCACATTGGTACAATATGTAAAGCCCATTTCTGGTGTCCCCTGCTGCGACATTGCAGGAATGCTGATAAGCTGCATTAAACTTTACTCACTCACTCACTGTTTTTCTGCGATGCATTCATATGCTTTCCATAGCTGTTTTGCGTTTTAAACCCAATGCGGTGTAAAACCATACTAACTCACTCACTCAATCTTCTGTTACATTTTCTCTGTGGGCTCCTGTACCCGTGGTCCTCTGTTGAAGCATCAAACAAACAGACACATAGAGTAGATGGAGTGTATCGTACAGCAAGAGCGGAACCATTTGACCAAAAGAATATTTAGATGTTATTGTGCCACGTTGGCACCCCTGAATTTTTGTTGTTGTAATGTTGTTTTATTTGTGAAAGCTTGTGAAGTAGGTAATGAAAAACTGTGGCCTTGATTTAAATCTCTTCTGTGGGCCAACTTGATCATCAGTAGTATGAATCTCATGGAAATGTTATCTGTGAACAATGTTTTGTGTCTGTTCATCCCGTTTGTTATCCACTGATTCTATGATTCTGTATCCTAGACATATATAATTCTTAGTCTATCTATGAATTAAAACATCTGTCCAGAATTGATATATTGTATTGGTTGTATTGTGTGCGTGTGTGCGTGTGCACATGCATGTAGGTTCATAGAGGCAGGTGCTTTGTCATTGTGTTCCTGTGCATTAATCAGCATTGTTAAATGAACTACACACAATCAGAGTTACACTCCTCAGCTTGCAGAATCTCAGAATAGCGTGCTCAAAGGCACCACCAAGGAAATACACGTGTACTTTCCTCTGACAGTAACCACTGTTGAATCCCGAAAGTGGAGTATGAAAAGTTCAAGAGTGAATGAAAGTTGTGTTCTGTCTATAATAGATTATTAAGTTTGGGTCAGTGTATCTATTTATGTTGTCCCTCTTGACAGTAATGTGATTGACACAATTCAGGATAACTGAATTGTCTTGCTTGCACCCCAAGTACAATTTAGTCAGGCTACTCATTGTTCTCGGTGACTTCTCATCTCATCTCATCTTTATTCGCAAAAACCCACCAACGGTGGTACATGTGACAAATGAATGCAAATGAATAAAATAAATGCCAAGATAGCATGGATGTACATCGACGTTTATTATACATATACATGTACAAAGATATATTATTACTGATTGAGAAAGCGTAAATGTTACAAATTAGATTATATTTGGAGCCTTTTGGAAACAATTCTAATATGTTTTGCGAAGTTACGCAAAGCGTTTGTTCTTTTGGATTTGAGAAGGTTCGCCATTTTTGAGAGATTCAGCCATTGTAGAAATTGATTTGGGATAAAAATGGATCTCTCGGAAATGAAGGTTTCACATTTAAAAAGATAACTGAACTCATCTGCAACTGCTGATGAGCTGCAGAGAGGGAAGAGTCGGTCTTCTCTGGGTACGCGAGTCTCAACCGGTAGGTTATGGTTTGATGTTCGGAATATCAAAAGTTGCTGTGATATAGCTTTAGGGAGGAGAAAATATATCAAAATCTGGGGAGTGTTTGTACCATCGATAATACATACCTTTTAGGCTTGCCATGATATTTTCTCTCGAATTTTGAACAAACTGATCTTTAAAGATTCGTTCAACATTTGGTACTAACCATGGAGTGGAATACCCAAGTGGATTGTTTAGAACATGACTTAGTCCAAGATTATTTACGATACGCCTGATGGAATTGAGCCAGGGATAATCGTTACAATTGATTTGAGTGTCCAATGTGATAAAATTATAAATTACTTGGGATAGTTTTATTACATCATTTGGAAGAATCAACTTATGCCAGAAAGCTATCATACGTTTGTATATCTTAATATATAACAGTATGCAGGTCATTCTACCTCTTACGGAACATCTCGAAAATCCGGCGCTACCTTGATGAGAGGACAACCTTTTCATTGATCCATGCGTATATTTCATATCGGATGGACTACTGCAACTGTCTACTCTATGGCCTGCCTCAATCCTAAATAAGAAAGCTCCAACGCGTACAGAATTTTGCTGCTAGACTTGTCTCCAGATCACAGAAATACTCTGACATAACCCCTGTTCTGCAGAGATTACACTGGCTTCCCACAAACTCAATCTTTTTGTTTTCAAGTGTCTCAGTAACCTAGCTCCAAAGTATCTATCTGACCTGATCATCAATCGATCTGAAAATCTTGGTCTTCTTGTTGTCCCACACTTTAGGTCCAGTACCAGGTTTGTGGATCGATCATTTCAGGTGGCAGGACCCACTCTCTGGAATTAACTTCCGCTAGGGTTAGGGACAATTAACAACCTGAAGATTTTCAAATCTAAAATGAAGACATTCCTTTTTAAGAAAACATACAGTGTCTAAATTTTCATTCTTGAGTTGTTCGGAGTTCGCTACTGAGCATTACTTTGGAACTGGAATTGTCACCCTTGCCTGTACGGGTTTGTGAATGAATTGCTTGAATGATAATGCATTGATCAGACAAATGAACAAATATTGGAAATTAAAACTGGTGCACTATTTTGCGTGAAGCACAGTTACTTTTTTCCGTTAGTATATAACATGAAACAATTTCATGCCACTGTCATACTGATATGCCATACGTGGTTAAAAGAGGACATCCTTAACACGACCATGCGATATGTCGTGATGTTTTGATGTGTACTTTTATTCATTACCCTTCGAGCTTCAGAAACAAAGAAACAATTACTTATGTAATCCAAGAATCCGAAATCCTTGTTGCCAATTACGGCTCTTGTGTGTAGAGATCTATACGAGATAATTACAAGCTTAATATGTATCCCTTTACAAACAGCATCAGTGATGTGCGCTTTGTCAGCGTCACGGAGGTTCCTGTTAATAGATGGTATATGAGGAAAATAAACATGACACTGCAAATGATTAAGTTGATAGTGTGCAGGCAGGATTGTATGGACCATTTTTTCTTCATTTCTTCATCCTTGGAAGTGTGTGCAAAACTGATTACGATGTTTTGAAATGGTTTTGATAAATATAACATCGTCATTACGTTGACTATATCCCCACTGCTCCAGCCAGATACAGCCATATCTTCTACCCCAGCCACCACGTTGACAGTATCTGGTGTCACTGCTCTTTCTACTGCGGTCCACTATCACAATAAATTCTACAGCAGATTTCTACCGTCACGGCCACTTCAGTCCAAGTCCGACTACCCTTTACATCCACTCCTACAGCGTCCGTCGTCTACTGTCACAACCCGGCCTCCGACGCTACCTTCGCAACCACTTCTGTTTCTGTTGTTACAACCACATGAACGGCTTCCGACTTGTTCAGGTAAATCTGATTCTTTGAGTACTGTTGTTGTGCTTTCTAAGATGCTTCGGTGAAAGATCAAAGGCGCCGACAGTACTTTATCAGACGATAATGTGCACTTTTGGCGGTTAGGTCCCATACTACCTACAGTTCCAAACTACCTACCTCCCAAACTGCCAACAAAAACATTGCAGGCAGCGTGGGAAATGATTTTTTGCCCTGTAGAATAATGGAACAGTCCGAGTATCAATGAAGAAGGGGTGCTTCGTTTTGAGAAAGGGATAATTAGGGGGATTATATTAGTATATATCTGTGAATCTACTTCTGTGTATAGTATGTTTTGAGTCTTCTCATCCAATAAAGACTACACGACAAGTACAACGATATTGTTTTATTTTGTTTTGGGAAGCAGTTAACATGCTTATATTGTAACCTCCAAAGCAGAATTAACTTAACCCTATTTGATCAAGTTGGGTAGGCTTGTTTTAACTAGGTTGTTACAGGCTTTGTCTGTCTTTGTCAGATTATGTCGAAAAACATGGTAAGGACTAAATTGTTGAGAAGATCTCATCTTCTCAGTTAATTAAACTCCTAATAAATTAGAAGGGGAACCAACTGTATCCATCACACAATGGCAAATCTTCAACGCGTTCAATTCATCACTTCTCAAGCAGGAGGACAGCAAGTTTTCTTTGCTGGTACCGATATCGCCTCAACGTCAGACGACAGACCACAGCACATTGGAAGTGTGTACATTCTGAATGCAAAGGCCGCTGTTCTACAACTGGAGACTTCATGAAATCAACAACACCGCACAACCATGTCCCAGTTGAATCTGAAGATGAGATTCGACTCCTTAGCAGACTGCGTCAGCGTGTACAGGAGGACGTCACATCCATTCGGCAGCTGTACGATGAAGAGTTGTCCAAGGTTGCTGACCCAGCGTCTGTACGATCGTTCTCGAGTGTAAAGTCCTCCCTCTACCGGCACAGAAGCAAAGTTCTACCAAACCTTCCCAAGTCTCTAGCTGATGTTCAACTCGAAGGACCATGGACTCGGACAAAAGATGGACAGCAATTCTTGTGCAATTGATGATCGTGACGACGACAAGATACTGGCTTTTTGCTTCAGAGGACATGCTAAACATGCTCCACAGTGCCGACAAGTGGTATATGGATGGAACTTTCTATGTTGCACCAGCCCTATGGGACCAGCTGTATGTCATTCACTGAATGGTGAATTGGGATATGTATCCATGTGTGCATGCGCTGTTGCCAAATCGTACGAGGGCTACCTATGTCAGACTATTCACGTTGTTGAATGATGTTAGGGACAAAGTAGGGGGTGAACTTGCGCCTAGTGAAATCCAGATAGACTGTAGCCATCAGGGCAGTGGAGGAAATCTATGAGGATTGTGAAGTGCGTGGATGCTTCTTCCACTTCACTCAGGCTGTGTGGCGAAATGTGGCTGAGCAAGGACTGACAAACGACTACAAGGACATCCCACAAGTGCAGGCCTGGTCAGGAGAGCAGCTGCCCTTCCACTACTTCCACGGGAAATGGTGCAGGACACTTGGATCGCTGCCATGGACGAAGGCCCGGAGACAGAGCACCTCCAGAGCGGCAGCAAAACGCCTCTTCAGTACCTTGATGCTGTTGGACATCTCAAGTTTGCAAAGTGATTGTCAGTTGTGTGTGAAAAGACTGTAAAACCACTGTTTTTCATGATAAATCCATGTCTCCATGTTAAGTCTGAGAATTCTCAGAATGAATAAAGATGTCCTACCAACCAACACTTGTCATTTTTTTAACTTCTGTAGGCACAGTGGGAAGACACCATAGAATTTATCAGCTAACTAAAGTTAATTTTAGCATGGGTAGAACAGGTCAGATCGGTGTATTCACTTCCTGATCACTGGACCGTATCATGTTGTTTTAACCTGTAGGCAGTTTGGAACAGTAGGCAGTATCTGAATACACCCTTTTTGCATTACGTCACAATGTATTGGCGTCACTGCGCCATTCTAGTCTGCCCCTTCGTAATCGAACCATTTTGTATTACGTCGCAATGTAAGCGACGTCACGATGTATGTCAGTTGTCATCGCCTCGTACGGCCTCCTACAGTAAACTACTCCGTTGCATCCTGTTTCTTGGTTTGCAGCTGCTTCACGCAGCTACCAACACTGGTGGAAACATTACGTTTATGTTTTCCGACGGTTAAAATGTCTCAATTCGACTCACAAGTTTTCAGCGACACGGTAACGTTCGCAATGTTTACATTCCC